TTTGAGACAAGAGTCTTGCTTTGTCACCCAGGCTGGTGTGCAATAGGGTGATTTCAGCTCACTTCAGTCTCAACTTCCAAGGTCAAGCAATCCTCCCACCTCAGCCTCCAAGGTAGCTGGAATTATAGGCACATACCTCCAAGCCCAGTTAATTTTTGTATTTTCTGTAGACACAGAGTTTCACCATGTTGCCCAGGCTGGTCTTAAACTCCTGAGCTCAGGTGATCGGCCTGCCTCAGCTTCCCAAAGTGCTGGGATTACAGGCATGAGCTGCCATGCCTTAGCCTACATCTCAATTTTTCTTGTTTTCCGTACTCCCATGGCATCCCAGATTCCTTGCTATGACACAGCCAAATGTTATGACTCTCTGTGGTCTGTTATTGAATACAAATCTTGCAGATTAATTATTTGGGCAGTTAAAGAAACTTAAAGGGTCATCCCAACCCCAGAGTGAACTTGACCGAAGAGATAGAGCCCTTCATCATCCCAGCTGTGATCTCTTGGACACTTGGTGCTCTAGAGACCTACAGACTTCCAGGTATATCCCTGAGGCCACCCAACAGGAAAATCAGAACCTAAAACAGCAGCTTTAGAGACAGAACACCTGAGGTCACGTTCCGGCTCTGCCACTAATCTCTGGAGCTAGGAGAACAGCATGGATTTTTTTTTTTTTTCTGCCTTTTTGCCTTTGCCCAGCTAGTGTGGAGATAATATCAAGCACAAATATTTTAAAAAATGCTGTCTGCCTTTCAGATGAGAACTTGATATTCTTTTAAAAGAATGGGGAAGAACACTTAAGGGAGTGTAGTTCCATGGATCTCACTCTCAATACCAATTCAGTATAAGAGAGTTTACTTTAAACTGTCATAGCTGCCAGGGGTAACTTCACCTGTTCAGATCTGCCCTAATCTGATAGCGGCAAAGTTAAATTAGTATTCTTCATTGTTAACATTGCCACTTAAATTAAGTGATACGATTTTTAATTGTTAAAATTTCTTTTTTTTAGCCGATCACAGAAAAAAATGCAGATGGTTTCAAACATCTCCTTTTTTGCCATGTTTGTTATGTACTTCTTGACTGCCATTTTTGGCTACTTGACATTCTATGGTAAGTAATTTCTGCTGGTACATAAATATAAATATTTGTAAACAAATTAGTAAAAATAAGTATTGAAATAACTTTTAACATGAAAGGTAAAGAAAGCAACAAAGCCACTCATTGGTTTCTCTAGTTTTTTCTTCTGCTTAAAGCAATTGTGCTCTTTCCTTTATTATTCATGCAGACTGCAGAATAAAATAATTACTAAAACAATATATTTTTTTTATCCTAACAGTGTCCTTAAAGGAAATTGCATTTTAGAAGCATGCTACCTTTACTGAGGAAAGTTTAAAACTACATCAGAGAAGGCTTTCCTAATTGACACTGCAAATTAGGTCAGATTCCATTAATAGAATAGAGAGACAGAGACAGATGCTGAAAGTGAGAAAGAGCAGAGTGCTACACTCATGACACTCTAAGTTAATTAAAAATGAAACTCCTAATTGTTCACTGGTAGTCGGAGCCGAGCCTTGCAAAGATCCAAAGGAAAGACATAGAAATTTTTAAAAATGAAATCTGAAAAAGCGAACAAGATTTCATATGTAACTTTTACTGACCCTGAATGAACACTTTACTGGCTTTTACTTCTTCTTCATCCTCTCCTATTCAAATTATCCTGAATCTTTATTTAATATCTTTCATTATCTTTATAATTGTGTACCTAATTTAAATATATATGCTTGTATTTCGCCATCTTTTCTACTAAATAATAATTCTTTGGGACTTTTTTCCATAAACACAAATGTCTCAAAATTAAACACATTTAAAATTTATTAATTCAGCCTGGAGAAAAAGGCTACTCTGATTATACAGATGTTATTTTTATTGTTTTCACAAGCAATAGAGAATACCATTGTCTAATGCATTCATAAATACCTTATTTAATTTTTGCATAAAATTGGTGTTGCTAAGGTGGATGCAGAGTTGCAGGGCTGGGGTGGATACAGGGAGAGAGATGGGGAGAGCTTCATGTTAGTTAAAGTCTCACTGTTTTTTTGTTCAAGCTATGATTTTTCTTTGTAAATGAATTATTTTTCACATAGAATAGAATACCAAACACTTTTATTACTCTCGAGTTAAAGAAAAAGCCTCAGCTATTTTTAAGTTGTTGGTTAGTTTGAATTAAGGAAATTAGAACTAGTGAGATTTGTATTATAACTTATGATTCTTTTTTGGAAACTGAGACCAAGCTCGATGGTACCGATTAGCATTTGAATTCCATGCTGAGAACCTTGAGATTGGTGCAGTGAGAAGCCCTTGCAGGAGACAGGAGGGGAAATTATCTTTTGTCAAAAGAGTGAGCAGTTTCATACTCTATGTGACTACCATTCTAGCTTTGTTAGTCTTTGAAATAACACTTTCTGAAGTTCTGAGTTGAGAAAAAGTTCAAAGTAGTACATAAGGCCAGGTGTGGTGGCGTGCACCTATAATCCCAACACTTTGGGAGGCTAAGGTAGGTGGATTGCTCAAGCCCAGAAGTTCGAGACTGGCTTGGGCAACATAATGAGACCCCTGTCTCTACAAAAACAAAATACAAAAATTAGCTGGGCATGGTGGCACACACCTATAGTCCTAGCTGCTTGTGGGGCTGAGGTAGGAGGAACACTTGAGCCCGTGAAGCAGAGGTTGCAGTGAGCCAAGATGGCACTACTGAAACCACACTTCAGCCTGGGTGATAGAGCAAGACCCTGTCTCAAACACACACACACACACAGTAGTATGTAAACACTTTTTTTTTTTTTTACAAGAACAACATGCATGGAAAAGAGGAATTATTTCCTGGTGGTGAAATTTCAGCTAGTGCCTCTGCTGGTTGGCCACTTGAAGTTGACTTAACAAGAGAAGAGTTCAAAACAAGCTCCAATGTGGCTTGCAGGCACCTCCCGCCCCCTGTCCCCCAGCAAGTCTGTGGCAGTTTCGTGTGGTTTGAAGAGTAGAGGGAAAGTCTAGATTAAGAGCAGCTTTGCACTTCAACTGTATGTTTCATTTTCAAGGCCAATGTGCCTCTAGGTTTAATTTAGTCTAAATTAAGCATTCCCACTCCATGTAGCTTCTTCTAGACATTACTTTAAATTCCTTTGCTAAGTCACATATGCACAGTAGAGCATGTCTCGCGTACAGATTTTTCTTTCCAACTTAATAGTTTTAATAGACATTTCAAAGCATTGCTTTTCTTTCCCTTTAGTTTACAAATTCTTTGTTATTCAGAAAAACTGTCACTTAGCTATGTACTCTGTCTCCTTGTAAAACCCTCTTACTTTTCCATCATTTCAGACAATGTTCAGTCAGACCTCCTTCACAAGTACCAGAGTAAAGATGACATTCTCATCCTGACAGTGCGGCTGGCTGTCATTGTCGCTGTGATCCTCACAGTGCCGGTGTTATTTTTCACAGTGAGTAAGGGCCTTGGTGCAATATGAGAAAAGCTGAGGTCTTGGTTTTCCTCCTGCCTGCGGGAGCCTGTTCCAGAGAAAGCCTGCCCCAGGTAATTTTCCTGGGTTATTGAAACTGCATCTGGAAATGATCCCAAGACTCTGTTCAGGCTCTTTGAAAAGCAGGTGGCATTCAGTGCATCAGGGATCCTCTGATGCAATGAATCTTCATTCTAATTAATCTGTCCCTGTTCTTTACAAAGAAATGACAATAGAATGTTCAAATCTCAGTCAGACATGAAGAGAGAATATAAAAAGAAGGGAAATGAACAGTTAAATCTTAGATAAACCAAAGACAGAAATTCTACCCCCTACAAGAAAACTCTACTATTCATAAATAAAAATATTTTCCCTCTTCAGTTAAGACCCTGTACTTCCAAAACTGTTAAGCTATCTATAAATTCACTAGGCATCACAAAACATTTCACAAATTTGTGTACACCAATAAATCAGTTACTTTACTGAGAAATGTCAGTGTTGGCATGCTGTAGGCACTTACAGAATCTTTGTTTTCTTTTCTGGCAGGTTCGTTCATCTTTATTTGAGCTGGCTAAGAAAACAAAGTTTAATTTATGTCGTCATATCGTGGTTACCTGCATACTCTTGGTTATTATCAACTTGTTGGTGATCTTCATACCCTCCATGAAAGATATTTTTGGAGTCGTAGGTATGGCTTCAGGACTTTGTGCTTATCATTCTACAATAGCTGTTTGGAGGGAAAATTTCACAATAGCAATGCTAAACTTTCTCTTTTTTTTTCTTATTTTACAGGAGTTACATCTGCTAATATGCTTATTTTTATTCTTCCTTCATCTCTTTATTTAAAAATCACAGACCAGGATGGAGACAAAGGAACTCAAAGAATTTGGGTATGTCACTTGCCGGCCACTCTAACTTTTCTGATTAGTTTTCCATTTAAATTTACCAAATAAATAGTTCACCTCTCTATCAAGACTACTTTCAGTTGCCCTGAAGGGAGGCAGAAGCCCTGTAGCTTTCCTACTTAGGAGAGATTTAAAATATATCAGAATCTTCTCCTGTCCCTGCAAATATCTTTTCTGGTTTTACTCTCATTGTGCCTCAGCTTTTGTTCTGATCTAGTGTGTGGCCAGTCAGAAGAATGGACATTCATCCTCCTGTGTCTCTATAGGATGGTGTCTAGTCTAGCAAGAGAGGAAGTCACAAAGAACTCCCAGATATTATGCAGTCTACTGTTTCCATATGATTTCTAGTCATGTAACCCCTCCCTACAGCCCAAGGAACATGCAATGCCTTAATTAAAATGTCTGAGTTAAAGAGTCTTTTTATTATTTGACAGATAATGCTTTGGAACAACAGACCTGGATTCAAAACCTACCTTTCTATATTAGGATTCTTGTTTCCAGGTCTGGTGAAATTCAAGGGCATCTTGAAGGTGGTGTGCTTGGAAACAGTGAGGGAAGCAGGGGTAAAGTGGTTGCTATCTGAGTCCCTTTTGGAGTTCCATTTTGCTTGGCCTTGGAGTAAGCTTCTCAGCTGCCCCCTCAGCTAGTGTAAGCACTGAAATTGTACCTATTACCTAAGTGAAAAGATCCAGATAAGAGGTGCAGGCACGAGGGTCATCCCTGTGCATTTAGGAGAAGCAGCACTGATGCTCATAGAGTATCCAGTTCCCCAACATGATCACCCCTGTAACCTTAATTCCCAAATCCTTCCAGCCTTGCCTGTAGGGGCTTCATGAGGACAGAGAGAAAGGAGCAGTCACTCTGGCACAACAGGACAATATATTCAGTTTAAATCTGAAAATGGTGGAGGCGTGCTGCGCATGAATTCTGAGCCTCTCTAAACCTGGTCCCATAATGAAACTAGTAGTAGGGTCTGCCAAATGGCATTAGACAAGGGCTCCATCTGTGTAGGGACCACTGGGAGTTAGACTGGACCCAGGATGGCATGCCACATGCAGCCATCTCAATCCCCAATTCGCTCCTCTCCTTCCCTAGCTCTTTCTCCTCCACCAGTTTCCAGTCTAGGCCCATTGGCTCTCAGAATGCATCATCCTTCTCCCTGAAGAGCTCTCACTGAACATGCTCCAGCCCAAGGAACATGTTCCAGCCCAAGGAATCTTGTGTTCTTTGGATTTTGAATTTAATAATCTGTATTAGTCTGCTCTCACACTGCTAATAAAGAAATACCCCAGACTGGGTAATTTATAAAGGAAAGAGGTTTAATTGACTCACAGTTCCACATGGCTGAGGAGGCCTCACAATCATAGCAGAGGGTGAAGGAGGAACAAAGTCATATCTTACATGGCAGCAGGCAGAGAGCCTGTACAGGGGAATCCCCCTTGATCAAACCATCAAATCTCATGAGATTTATTCACTATCACTAGCACAGCATGGGAAAGACGCACCCCCAGGGTTCAATTACATCCCACCGGGTCCCTCCCATGACACATGGGAATTATGGGAGCTATAATTCAAGATGGATTTGGTTAGGGACACAGCCAAACCATATAATCATCTGTTTACCTATGGTCTTCATCAGCCTTTCAGGTAACTTAGTTTTTGACACCTGTTTCCTATGTCACGTGATCAAATCTATTTTACTTTCGTATGTTTTTCCCACTTTTTTAAACAGAAATATTTGCTTGCCAGTGATAAGCTAGGTTGGTAGATCATGAATAACAAAATGTCCTGGATATTTTCTAAGGCCTTTTCCCCGCTTTTGGTTGTAATCTTAATTTGAGAGACACCATAAGGATACCCAGTCATTTGTAGAATGGATACATACAATTGAGGTGAATATGGAGTCAAAGAACGGGGCATAGAAGACTACTCTGCTTAGCTTATTTTTTCTATGTTCCCGTCCTTGTAGAATCAGATTGATACAATTTTTAGAAAGAGTCTCACAGTTCAGCCATGGTTGTAACAAACTCCAAATACCAGAGGACCCAAAGGGAGAGGGAAACAGTTCTATTTTTTTTCCCCAGGTACATGTGGAAAATTTTTGCTGCACTGAAAATAACCCTTGCCTTTCTGTTGCTACAGGCTGCTCTTTTCTTGGGCCTGGGGGTGTTGTTCTCCTTGGTCAGCATTCCCTTGGTCATCTACGATTGGGCCTGCTCATCGAGTAGTGATGAAGGCCACTGAAACCGCTGAGAAAAAGAAATATTCCTGTTGTCTGCTCAGTCAAGTCCCCACACATCAGCAATCTCTCATCACTTCCTTTCAAGTTTACAGAAGCAAACAGAAATGTACAGGATACTTAAAATGGAATAACACTTTGGTTCCAAAACAGAGACATGTTTCTATAATGCTTCATGTCCCTCCAAGATCTGGGATCAATTTAGGGTTGTGAATTTTTTTTTTCAAATTTCATACAATCATATTTCCCAGTACTTTTCACAATCAGTTTTTACCCGTCTAATTCTATGTTTTGTGGCTTTGTGGTCTCTTAGAACTTTGAAAACATGATAAGCAATCATGTTTATTTATTATACATCCAGATTCTGAAATAATTTTCCTACTGATGTTCAGCTCACACATCTGTACCTTTTTAGAAGAGAAAAGAATCTTGAATTGTATATATTTATTTTGCTTTACAGAAAAAAATGGTTTCTTAAATAATTTGCCTATTTTGGTTAACATAGCACACAGAGATAATCATCTGAAAGTTATAGGGCACTGCCACTGCTGAATCAGAGCATGCCCAATATTTGAGGTGGCTCTGATCGCCTGGCAGCTGAGCTGAGGCAGTCCAGTGGCCTAGCTGGTACCACATCCCATTTACATCCAGAAACATTCTCTGGCAAGTGTTCTCAGCTGAAAAGCAGTTGGGGATGATTCTTAGCTTGGTAATTAAATGAAGCTACACATCTGGGTAATCTAGCAAATGAAGTATTGTTTCCCTCTTGGCAACTTGTGTCAGAGTTACTCTGGTCTGAGTCAACTTTCGATGGGGAAGACCAATGGAACCTACTGCAAAAAGATTGTCCAAAATGCCTAAGAAAATAATCCTCTGATACATTTAGCCTTCATTCCTATACCTGTCTTGTTGAAGGGAAAAAAATGTTTTACTACATCGTAGGCCAATTAGCTTTTATTCATGTCCACCAGCTAGTTGCACAGAAAATCATGTGTACCTAACTAAGGGTGATCTAGGATAAGTAACTCCTGTTTTATATTGAGTACTTTAGGGAAGTCTTTAAAAGACTTGTTTTATATCTATAAATCTAGGTTATTACAAATACAAGATTTTTGTATCTTAAATAAGCCTCATTTCTATTTCTTCTTTGTTAATTCTCCATCTAGAGTCTTGCTGGAAAAAAAAAATCCTCAGAGATAGTCTTTGCGAAGAGTTTCGGACAGAATCACTGGTTACTTGAAAACATGATAAGCAATCATGTTTGTTTATTTATTAAACATTCAGATTCCGAAATAATTTTCCTTCCCCCAGATGAGGAAGACAAGGGGGTCTTAGTGTGCTGTCTCCTCTTCTCTTCCCCAACCAAGGAGTGTGTCATTACAGCCCATCCCAACTGATTCATGCAGGAGGACAGAGGTGCCTAGTACTCTTACCCTAGTCCCTCTCCTAAAGGGAGCACAAGGAAACTGTGAAGAGACTGAAAAAGAAGAGAGTTTGTAGCTGAAAAAGGAATGGGGATAGCAAGGAAACCCAGAACTGCATTCCCCTAAGTGGGAGCATCCCCTGTGATTGAATTGTTCATAGTTAACATATGGTGAGAAATATGCATGCTCTGTGATCTGGTCTCTTGAAACAGGACTTATATTTCCTCTATATTCTGGTTGAATTTTCCAAACACATAAGTTCACTGAGCACAGATTTCTTATCCAGAGATAAGTAGAATCTAACTGCAGACTGTTGGCAGAGTTTCCAGGCACTTAGCCGTGTTCCCTTCCTGACTCAAATCTCCAAAGGCCTTCACTCTCACTGAGAATCACATGGAACTGTCTCTGCCCTTTACAGACTAATGTCCCATAGATAAGGCAGGCATTGAAGCACGTGTCATGATCCTCTTGCAGGGAGAATGAAAGGTTATTTCCTGCATTGCATCATCATAGCTTTTAATATAATGCTACAGAATTATATCCACATTAGGTCAGAGTTCAGATATTTAGATATGAATACCTAATCTAGCCATATCCACAGCCATCTCTGTCCTTTTCAGCAATGTTTTCCATATCATATTAGCAATGACAGAAACAGAACAAACCAAGATTCAGTCGGTTCTTAGGAGCTTGTCTAGAGCACCAAGTAATGAAATAGCCAGGTAGTGGGATATCTTACCTTTGAAAATACGTTAATTTAGTTTGCAAGCTATATTATGCTACTTTCTATTTTCCTCGTTACTTTATAGCAATTCATTTCACACGCACAAAGTCAATTTAGAACGTTATCATTAACTGGGATGTGTAGTCATATTTTTGGGCCTCTGGACTTCATGTGTCAATATAAGGAATATTTACTTAAAATACATTTATTTAGAGGAGGCACACTGTTGTTGATGCGTGTGATAAACACACATATTTTTAAAAACCTTTGTATGTTTATCTAAATTTGTTGTTGACTGAATATAATAGACTCTACCGTAATTTGTCAAATATCAATGATTAGTTATATCCTTTGTGTGGGATTAGCTGTAAAGTGTACTGCTCTTATTCTCGTTCAGAATAGTGAACTGGTAGCCAAAAATACATGTATCACAGATGTTAGGTTGAATTTAAAGAGCACAGTCAAGTGCTATGAAAGATTTTCTGCTAAATTAGTAGATTAAAGAATTACTATACCTTAGCCAGGGGGAGCAGCATGTTTTCCTTTGGTAGGTAGGATCTCTATACTAGTGAACAGTGCCAGTTTCACACTTTGGATTTAGAACTGTTCTCTAGTTATTGTAACACAGAATACTGTCAATCCCTAATTTACTTAATGTTACTTATTGGAAGTGGGACTGGTGAAACACACACAGGAGGGAAATCTACTCTGTTTAGGCACAGGCAGTCCCAGTGTATAAAGAGATCATATTCCAAAAAGTTGTCAGTTGTTTGCAACCTGGAATGTATTTTCCTTTACAGACCAGGTTATCTATGGTGGTTAATCCCCTAGACCAGCTCAAAAAGATGATCAAACCCATAGTTTAGCTGGAAGTGAATAATGTAATAGGTTTGCCAGAGAATCTAACCATCAAATATAACATTGTTTCCAGGAGGGTGTTTGTTCAGAGTTGCCTGTTAGTAGAATCTGGACTGTCCATCCCAGCCACATACCACCTACTGGGCAATGGGGGTAGAGATGCCACCGGACTACAGGTGACTAGAGTGGCCTGAAACAGGGTGTCTAGCAAAAATTGGGAGGAATGAGTCCATGACTGCCAGAGAGCCTGGTGATAAGAGGAGGGTGAGGGAGGGTGATGGGACCTCTTGTGGGTCAGAAACCTCCAGGGACATCGCTCACTTGGTACCTCTGCTGTTGTCCAGAGGGTTCAGGTTTGTTCTGCCTGTTGCTGTTTGTCTGACTTTTGGCTCCTGTGGTTCATCTCCTGCCCTGCCTACCACAGAAAAGGATGCTGGTGCACAGCTTATCTCATGTACCAGTCGTTGAGGTCAGTGCACAGCACTTTTAATGTTTTTAGTGCTAGTAACTATGTTTTAACTTTCGAGGAATAAGCTGGGAGGTTAGAAAAAAAGAAAAAAGAGAAACAAAAGCTCTCCACTACTTCCTTTTCTACATTTACAGACCCTGTTGAGAAAAAGGCCCAGAAGGGTGTTGGGGATAGGGCTTGTGGCAGACACAGTGTTGTGGTAAGTTTCCTCAGTGTTTCGGGGAGTACATAATACTGTCACTCTGGAACTGACTGCTTTCTGGAGACTGATTCATGCCTCTAAGCCAGTGGTTCTCAAAATGTGGCCCCCAGACCAGTAGCATCAGCATCAGTGGGGACCTCGTTAGAATGCAGATTCTCAGCCCCGCACCCCCAATCCAGACATGGTCAAGTCAGAAGCTCTCAGCGTGGGACTCAGCAGGTGATTCTGAAGTGCATCAAGTTTGAGAACCACCCTAAGCCAATGAGTCTCCCTTTTTCTTCCCATTAGTCCTACCACACAAGATGATTCCTAGGACTCATGGGGCAAGACACAGGAGCCAGGATTATAGGGAGGGGAGGAAAGGACCCTGGTTGCAGGGATCCCTGCAATGGCAAGAAAGCAAGTAAATCCAGCGCTGCCACCTGGTCATCACCCTCTGGTTGAAAATACTAGTGGAGGTGCACATTCCTAAACACAGGCTGCCTGCATTCAGTGTTACCTCGGGCTGAGGCATGATAATATTTTATTTTTTTAAAGCTGTGAGGAAATGAAAGTGAGGCTTTGGTAGGGGCAGGGTGGTGGTGAGAGAAATTAAAAGAAAAGACCCTTTGTAAATGCAGACTTAGAAGAATTACTGAATTTGTGTCAGAAGTAAGTTCTCCAGTGTTTGTGTTGATTGTGTGATGATAATCCTGTCCTCCTTTTAAAGCGAATTCTCTACTGAAAGGTCTGCTCTGTTTAAGGAGTTACAAACTACTCTCAAAAGAACGAAATGCTGAGTTCCAATTCAGTGGGGCACAGTGTTGGACTATGGCACAGTTAGTTGGAGTAGGGAGGAGGTCAGAAATATTGGATTTTATGCCTTAGAGGAAAACCTATTAGTATCTCTCAGTTTATCAATTTAAATGGCTTTAGGCTTAGAGGGGATGTAAACTTTGAGATTATAATTCTCCCATTCAAGTTCACAGCAAACACCTAACCACTTTCAAAACAAAGAAGACACAGGCCATCATTTAGCAATACTAATACATGATTTTCCTTCGGGATGGCAGGTCTGAGAATGCTTTAGCAACAGGACATACTTCCCCTAAATTACAGTGAATTACTTATAATGATATAAGGCTTTCAGATACAAACTGAAGATGGGGTGGCTAACACCTAAAAACTATCACTAAATCTAAAAGAGAAAGTTCTTGCAAAATATGTAAAGTTCACAAGGTGCAGACATCTCCTTCTTTAGGCTTTTCTCTAAGGAAGGGCTATGAAATTCGGCCCATCTGTATACAGGCTCGAATTTACGTTTTAAAGGAAGAATCTATGCAGCTGAGGCTTATTGCAGGAAAATACTTCATTTGTATGTAAATATATTGTAAATAAATAGGAGGCTGTATATTTTTGCAGTTGTTGATCCACACTGAAATAGAAGTCTCTAGGATCTGCATATAAACAATAAATGTTTCCTAGATATTAGTGGTTTTGTTTGGGAATTAGAAAAATTTACATTCCCTCCCAGGTAACATAGTTCTCTCAATGTAAAGTTGGAACCTAAAACCCTACTTAACTATTTAGAAAAAGAAATGTCTGAGAAATAGTTCCATTGATTTCTTATGCTGGCATTAAGATCAAATAAGGAATATTTAGACACAAATCCTTGTCATGTAGAAACAGATATATCCAAAATGACAAATTGTTTCTTCATAATGATCTTCCATTGTTAACATTGGTACCACTATATAGTATTTATGAAAACAAGTTGGGGAGAAGAATGTTTTTTTTCACAATTGAATTGCTGCATTTTTCAAACTTTGGGATTCTATGAAAGGGGGGAGGGAGAACCTGAATATTAATTATGAGCACTAATTTGAAGGAAAGGAAACAAAGAACCATTATTTTATCACACATTGGAAGTCTTGCATGTTTGCCTTTTATTTTATTGTTGATGCCAACATAGACTGTCTTAGGTAATTTTTTCCCCAAACACTTGAATCTTGATCATTGATATGTAATCCACTCTCTAGAGTCCAGTGTACTTTAGACTTCATCTGAGTCCAGTACATGTAGCACACCACTGTTTTATTAATGTAAAAACCTTGTAAATGAATTTCAGATGGGTGATTTAAGTGAGTCACAAGTCACAAAAGTTTGCTATTCGTAGTTAATCAAATAGAACTGGGTTTTTTTTTTTTTTTTCAGGGTGTGGTGTAAATAAAGAAATGTAAGAAGTTCTGTTCTATAACTGCTCTGTTAACATAGTTTTTAAACATTAAAAAATGTGAACTAAAAGTATTCACAAATTTTGTGTTGTGCTTTTGCGATGCGATACTAAAATGGACAGTGGAGTACTACATATGCTATTCAGGATTGCTGGAGAAGGGTTTGTACACATTTGTCAGTGTTCTAGATGATAGAAGTTTATATATTTAAGCACCCTAACATAAGTATTTTTAAACATACTTCTTATAGAAATCTATCTGGTTTGAAACATATACCACATTTCTCCATTCTTCGTAATCAGAGTAGATTGGCCATAATATTTTCTTTTTTAAGTCAAGTTTACCTTTATAAGTATTAATTTCTGTCCTATGTTGTAGGAAGGAGTTGAGTCTTCCTCTACCCACACTGCTGCCACCTATAAAATAGGACATTCTATCAACACTTTCATTTCTCAGGAACTATTGAGGCAAAGCTAGTGCAGCCTTGCCTTTTCTTTATCCATCACCAGCATCTTAGAAAGGCTTTACCAGACCAGCAGGATGGCCAGAGTCTGACATGCAAGTTCTTCTTGTGGACAGGGCTAGCATAGAAATAGCCTGGGTTTTTTACGGTGTGGCTATGGATGAAGACCCCCTTGATAAACTCCTCTGGCCTGCCCAGGTGACAGCAGCCCATTGTACGGGACCTCGGTGGCACACATGTAAAACTCAAAGTAGAAACCTAGGGCACGGGAGTCCAAGTCATGTTCTCCAATCTAACTTCATTAGGAATAAAGCTGATATTTTTATTCTTACGTGCCTCCTATGCCTACTTCTTAATTGATCAAAACCCCAGGGCAAAGGGTGTGAGTGAGTAATTATCACTTTTAAACTCAAGCAGTGGTAAAAGTTAAAGACTATTGAGAATATGAGCAAATTGTGTTCCAAATCAAAAGGACCAGTCCTGCAGCACCTTTGATAGTTCTGACTTCTTTCTTCTACTCTCCCTCCATGAGTGTTTGCTAATACTATTCTGTTCTATCCTTTTTGTCACAGAATTATCAGGGAAGAGTTATTCTCCCCCTTTCCCATGGAATAAACTATGGGCTTGTATTAGGGCTCTCCAGAGGGACAGAACTAATAGGATATATGTATATGAGAAAGGGAGTTTATTACGGAGAGTTGGCTCACACAATCACAAGGTGAAATCCCACAATAGGTCGTCTGCAAGCTGGGGAAGAAAGAAGCCAGTAGTTACTCAGTCCAAGTTCGAAACCCTCAAAAGCAGGTAAGCTGACAGTGCAGTCTTCAATCTGTTGGCCAAAGGCCAGAGAAGCCCGGCAAACCACTGGTCCCAGAGTCTAAAAGTCCCAGAGTCCAAAAGCCAAAGAACCTGAAGTCTGATGTCCAAGGGCAGGAGGAGCGGAAGGAAGCATCCACTATGGGAGAAAGATGAAAGCCAGAAGACTCAGCAAGCCAGCTTAGCCCATCTTCTTCTGCCTGCTTTGTTCTAGCCATGCTGGCAGCTGATTGGATGGAGCCCACCCACATTGCGGACAGCTTTTCCTCTCCCAGTCGACTGACTCAAATGTCAATCTCCTCTGGCAACACCATTGCAGACACATCCAGAAACAACACTTTACCAGCTATCTAGTTGTCCTTCAGTCCAATCAAGTTGACACCTAATATTAACCATCATTGGGCATAATGATAATTTTGCAACTCAGATGTCCTGTTTTCTTTCTAGATTTATAATTGTGTTCTGCCTACTTAGGAAAGCTCGGATGAACCCAAATAACTAGGCCAATTTTTGAATATCAATTTTTAAAAATCTTTTATTAGTTTACATTTTAGACTAAGTTGGTAGAATAATCTGCTCATTGGGAGAGTCGGTACAACATCAAAAGAACCTGCCAAATTATCCAAATGTATTATAAAGCTATAGCACTAAAACAGACTTGAACTGGGCACAAATAAATAAAAAAATCATAGTAGTGAATGCATAAATGACCCAAATAATACCAGAAAGGTGGGCTTTCAAATCAATGGGGAAAATAAAGGTTACTTAATAAATGATGAGAAAAAATACCTAGTTTTTGAAGAAAATAAAACCAGATCTCTATATTACCCCTTATGTCTAAAGAGAATTTAGATATATTAAAGACTTTAAATAATGCATGGATAAATATATCTATTTTTATAAGCATGAAACCATGACTCAAAGTATGCATCAAAAATTTATTTAGCTTATTAATTAAGGAACAAGTAATATTTTAAAAATTGGTCCAAAGGAGAATTCAAAGAACAAATACATATATCAGCAATCAGAAATGCTAAAATGAATTTGCTAATAGAGGCAAAACTGGCCTGTCCACAGGGGGAAATTTATTGTATCTTAACTAGACAGAATTATTTTGTATCTCTGGACAATAATCATTTCCATCTCTGTCAGTTTTCTACAATTTAGATGGTCTAAAGTAGCTCAAAGACCAAAAACCGGGGGCTGCGGGGCAAAATTCTTATAGAATCATATAACCCAGAAGCAGCATCTAATATTTCATTGAAAGTACGCCTACCCAGTAATCTTTTTTAACTCTTTTAAAGTCTTTCCAATTTTCCTAACAACTTCCCTCTTTGTGACTATAAATATCTCAAAGATTGTTCTTGGTCATAAAAAGAATGGTCTCATTAGGCTTGGCCTGATTATTTGCATGGGTGTAGCAGGAGTGTTAACCAACCACATAGGCATCCTTGAGTTTGCTTTGCAAATCTAGAGCTATGCAGTATTGAACAGCTGCTGGAACCACAGAAGTGCACTTTTAAAAGTCTCTATGGGGTGAGAGAGCAGTGGGTTGAGGGGGAAAAAGTCTCCATCATTTGCTAGCTCAAGATTAGGAAAGCAAGCCCAAGAGACTCCACCATATTCACCTATACTATCTATAGATTTGAATGAATTCATCTCTACTTGAGTTCTCCCAAATTTACTAAGGATCCTGGCCTGCCAGGAAGTGGTCTTTGTCACCACCCATCATAATGGGATCCTGTAGACCTGTTTTAGTACTAGGCTATAGGTTACAACCCTAGAAGGTTGGTACTAAGCCAGGATTTTGTAAGCATTTACTACGGAAGTAAAATTAACCTTTGTTCCTTGGAGTTGTTTGACATATCTGTTAAATGACCAACATCCTCACATATGATCTTCCAAGTAAGGCCACGGTGATGCATTCAATTTTGTCCAGTTATGTACCGGGAAAGAAAAAGACTCTTGTTTAACCTATGCAAATAACTACATTGCTGTGAGAAAGGTAACTCAGTCGCAGTGTTTAAACTCCGGGTGGGGGAGAGTTCAGTGAGAAGGAGGAAAAAAATATTTAGTTAACATTTGCCATACACATTGCGGCAACAACAGCAGAGTATACTGAATTGTTGTAGACTGAAGATAGCTTAAGAAGAAAGAGAAATGGCTTCCTTATATATCCAGCAAATACAGGCTTAAAACAACATCAACACAACCACAGTAAAAATTTTTCTCATCTGCTCATTCTGCCTTTTGTAATTTTATTTTGCTGAATTTTGGATTAGCATTTCTGTATTCAGAAAGCCATGTGCTTATGCCTTAAAAAGACTCCTGTAAATTCACACTCATTATGCAGGTACAGACTGAAAGCTGTCTAAATACCATAGCTCAGGGTTTGTACCCGAGTCTATCCTTTGAATAGACTTCGATAAAGTACTTGGATCAGTCCTTTTCCATGAGACTCTGAGGCTGTCTTTCTTTGCTAAAGAACCAGATTTTTGCCTTGTAGTTAATAGCAGAGACTAAGGCAAGTTTCAGGAAACAGAGACCTATTTGATAATAAGACCAAAAGGTTATAGTTAATTTACCTCAGTAACTAATAGTTATCCATTATATCTTAGGTATCCTTCTTGATAACCTTGAAGTTATATAGTATTCCACTGAAAGGTCACCTAATAATCTGTTTTGCCCATTTAAAAGTCCTTCACAATTTTTCTGTTGCAATATGTATATCTATATCTTATATAGATAATATCTTGGAGTGCAGAAGCCCTTTCTTGTTACAAAACATAGGAAAATGAAGTAATTGATCAATAAATATTTCAAAACACTATATGACATACAATAGTGCTAACATGCAAACAATCTGAAAATCCAAATGGGATACAAAACTAACATTTTGCCACACACATGTTGCAATTAATGGGGCCTGCCTCTTTAGTTTGAGGTTCAAATTACTCAAAGTATTCCCCTGGTCAAATTTCCAGGATGCCTAACACGTTTTCTTTCCCACTTCCAAATTGTGCAAGAACCCAGAGGTGTCTGCTTCCAAACTCCAGGCAAAGAGAGAACTGGTGAATGTAATCAGTTCACAGCAGGTTTCCTTCCCACCTCAGTCACTTCCGTCACTGCCACATGATGTCCCTGTTGAACACTGGCCCTGTGCAATCTGTTACACCTGTGTCTGCTGCAGCAATCATGTTCCCACAGGTCCACAACTTGAGGAGGGCTGAAGCAGTGGAGGAAGGTTGACCTCAATTCACACAGTGCTATGGTAGCTGTCATTTTCAGAGCCCAAGCAAGGAATAGCTCCTCAGTTTGCCCGCAGCTGGCTCCCAATCCACGCCCTCCAGGCTGTCTGGCTCAAGAGAGACTTGTTTACAGCTGCACACTGTGTTAAAACCAACCCTCTCCCTTTTCTCCAACCCATGGGAGTTGAAACTTGATACTAATTCCAGGTTCTATACCTGATATCCTCATGGTGAGTTCCCCTGCAGAGCTCTTAGGACTGTTTCCCGCTCCTTCGACAATCATCTTAATCCACAAATGAAGTATGAAAAGTAGCAAAGCCCAAAAGGGAAAAAATTGAGTAGGAGAGAATATTATCCTCCCAGGAGCCGTCCTAGTGCCTCTGCAAATTTGCCTGACTCAATAATCTTTGGTGCAGAAACATCTGACTTGGGCCACTCATGTTAAACCACAGAAACACTGTCACATCCTTCCTATGGAGTGATGGCTGCCTGATTGGCTCCTTCCTTAAAAATCCCCTTTTCAAGAAAAACTGGCTCCTATTCAGA